CATGTAATGAAGGGGTCTACAAACATTCCATTGGTGACATGCTGAGATAGTAACAGGCACGCGCTTATTGCCCGCGCTCCATACGGTTACTGAGGGGTTGAGCAATTAGAGGGGAGGCTGAGCGCGTCGCTGCCTCACCTCTCGTCTCTCCCTGTATTTGTAGCGACGCTACGCAAATTTGGCGATTTTGACTAGAAAAAAATATTGGAATCATATATAAATGATATTTATTTTCTTATTTTCTTTTCGTAACAGCTATTTTCATTGGAGTATGGCAGGTGAGGCTCTGCCTCCCCTGCCTCCCCTGACCACACGTCCCGAGAACCTGGCATACCTGAGTTTAATTCCCGGCCGAAGCTGACGTCACTGGCAAATGATACCTGAACTGGTCCTGGGCAACCCCTTCACTAAGCAGTAAAGTATGGTCAAGCAACCTCCATTCCTGACAGTGTGGGGAGGCTTCCATCCAGCAGTGGATTGATAAAAGGCTGTAAATAATGATAATTATCAATCTCCCACACCGGCACATATTTATGTACATATGTACGTTGAACTTTTTTCGCACCGTACGCAAACAACCGTGTTAATCGGAGGTGCGGAAACATATAAATGAAATATTTTTACATTAACGTAAGACGACATGAATAAAACTGAGTGTCCCTGTCGAGCAGCAGCTATGACGCAGCAGCTGTGAGTGTTCTGGGATTAATGCGTCTGTCAGGAAAGCGAGGCAGCACTTGTGAGATTTAGAGTTCAAGGCTGCAGTTCAGAGACATTGAAAGACAAGCTTTCCCTCTTGGGTTTAACACCTGCTGGCTCTCCCACGCATCTGGTTTCATGATCTCTGTGTGTGTGTGTGGTCATTGGCTTTCAATCCAGTCACAGATGCTGCACAATATGTACCTGCGTTGACTGGGCCATGGGGAAAAAATATATTGGTGGTTGGAATCAACAGCTTGGCCGTCAATATTGAAGTCTTTGATCGTTCGACCGATTATCCATTTTGTCACTCGATTGTTCAGATAACCTGTATGTGCGTGTTGAGCTCATTTTGCACCATACGTCGCCAACCGTGCCAATCGGACAATAGTTGGGAAAGAAAAAGTATCATCAACGGTGTTTTCAAGTGTGTCGCTGGTTGGGAGGTGATTGACAGGGCTCATCGGGGTGGCCACCATTTTTTAAATGGACCCCAAGTAATCGGGCACAAAAATTAGTAGCCAAAATCATTCTTAGTCTAGTTATTAAATTAAATTTTAATTATGATTCGTCGTGGTTCCAGTTATAATGGCTTTGGCCAGGTTAGGGCCCTTTTGAAAGTGTCGTATTCTGTTATGAAAATAGGTCACCCTCCACATGTCACCCATAACACAGCTACACAGACACCTGTTTGAAACATCTCTGCACTTTGTCAGCCCAAGCTTGTTTCGGCTTCTTTTGCACAGATGACTGAAACACTTGAAAAAATGTAAGGGTGAAATTCGAACATGTATACAGTCATACGCCCATCCAACATGAAATGATCCTGCAACAAACTGATTTGACTCCATGCTGTTTTGAAAAGCTGTCTAGCTGGAACTGTACTGCAGGATGCACATCTCACGATCATAATCTTGAATTTTATAGTGGTATTTATTTGTCTATCCAGGAAAGCCTCACCGAAGACTCTTTGTTCAGGAAAGTTTGGAAAATATATCTTCTGTCACAGAAATTGTCATGTTACAGAAAATGTCTTATGTCACGGAAAATTTCTTATCACAGAAAATGTCTTATGTTACAAGTGGAAATAAACCAGAGAGTATCCAGAGAAAGCTCACGCAAAAGCCACTCCAGGACTATTTTTCACATATTTATACAGGAGCATCGTTGCTAATGTCATCGTGGCGTTCCCAATTGCTGGCCACAATCACGCACCTCTGTGATAATTACATCATGCTGGGAGTCATTCTAACGACTTTTCTTACTCACTGTGACTGTAATCTTAGCCCTGACCCCAGCCGTGACCCCGGCCCTTAGCCGCAATGGCGTCGCGAATGACGCCCGCGGGCAGCGGTTGCTCGTGGTGTCCCCGATGTGCGGTCACTCGGGGTGAACGACCGCGGCTTTCTTGCTCGTTTGTAAGCGGTGGCGGTGTTGGTGGGGTTTTATTTATTACATCGGCGAGAGGCGCTTAACTCTCTGGATGGTGGATTGAGCAAACGGAAGCGGTCCTATTCGTGTGTTTAAATGCCAACGCTCCTGTCGACCCAGATTTTTGGGTGAAAAACGCGTCGCCCATCACCCAACGGTGCAGTAAATTAACGCTCCCGCCCATGTTTACATAGCCCCGCCCACTCCTCCACTAGCACCACCCACCCACATGCTGGCCCCACCTACTCCTCGTAGGTCCCACCCAATGCACAGATAGCTCCGCCCTTTGCCTTTATCACGAGTGGAGCGTGAAACATCTAAATTTTTTAAATTACTTTGGGTGACCAGAAACTATCTTGTTGAAACTGAGACTATCCTGGCCACATCAGGGCGTTGCGTAGATGTAATAGTAAGCTGATGGATGTTTAACAATAGCATGTATTTCCTCGTATACAGGGTCACTGTGACATCTTATCACTGACGGAGTTAACCAGCGCTGTATTTAATACCTGTGCATTGCTGTCAGTTGCTATCTTCTGCTTGGTTTCCTGGTCTGACAATGAGCATCAATACAACTCCGAGCGCATAATGCAACTCCTAGCTGCTAGGAGTGCTTATTGATGCTCACATGCCATAGCAGGAAACCAGGTGGAAGATAGCAACGGACAGCAACGCGCAGGTGTTAAATACATGGCTGGTTAACTCCCGTCAATGAAAGGAGGTCACGGTGACCCTGTGAATGAAGCGATCACGATTCAGCGCGACTGACGGACAGGGGTCGGCACTAATAGGCGGTGGGGGTGGGGGGAAGGACACCAGGGTAAAGTGCCCCTGTTGTAATGGAGATGGATCGAGAGGTCAGTGCTGTCAGAGGCCAGAGGCCCACTGGTGGAGAGAAGAGGAGCAGCTTGCGAGGGCAGTGAGGCTGGAGTGCTTTACTCCCAGGGTTGCCACTTGTCCTGATTTGTTTCCTGGAACTTGCCCTCGTTTGCAGGTGGCTGCGGAAATATCTGCAACTCTTAAAAGTTCAGTTTTTTGTCAGTTGCGTAAGCCAATTAGCACGGTTGGCTACCTACGCTGACGAAAGAAGTTCAACGTACATGCAGAAGAATACGAAAGAATGCTTATATGTATTTAAATGTGCATTTCTCCTTCACTCACAGTGTCCACCTACAATTCAGCCATCCTTTCTCCCGTTTCTCTCTCTCTAAAGAAGAAGCAGCATTTCTCAACTGTCTCGGCCTCGCTGTCCGCTGCGTTGCACCACTATCCGAGTAGTAAACCTTGCATTCAATAAATCTTGAGAGTCAGGGTGAACATCCGACTCCAAACGTATTTAATTAATAGAACGAGGTAAAACTGATGGAAAAACACAGCACAAAATACAGCATCTGTTAATACTTAAATGAACACTGCATCATCATAACATTGTCTTAGATAACATGAAACTCAACAATAGGTCTTGGATGGACCAGGCACCTACATTAGCACTGAATAGCTATACAAAAGAATAAGCTACTGTGTTAAATAAGGCCACTTTGTGTAATCACCATACTGCAGCCTAAATGTACAGCGCTGCACATAATACTGAACTGTGGATGAGATACTTCTTCATCCTTGATTTCTATATCGCATTAAAGTTACATGGGTACAAGTCTAACTCGACTTATTAAATTACAAGTAACATTCACAATAATGCAAGTGGCAGGCTTCGTTGTTAACTAGGCCTCATATTTAGCATAACAATTTAACGGCATTATAAAGCCATTTACAGCATTATAACGGCAATCCTAACATAACAGAATTCCCAGTATTATAAGAACATAAACACAGACAATGCTTCTTAAAGCCCCACAATGAACAGATGCACGTGTCTTCACTGAGATGCTATTTGTGCCTCCATTTTGTACTCTGTGTAATGGCTGACACCCAGCCTCATGGCTTAGAGGACCTTAAATTGTAACGTCCTGGTCACGTTACCAAACTCAACACCATGCCATGGGGCAGAACACCAACACTTTTAACAATAGCACTGCTTTCATCGGGGCTTAATTTCTCAACGACCATTTTCCAGGTTGCAGGTAGACAGGAGTAGGTCGCACGTTACAAATAGAAGCCGCAGCCTTGGCGTGAGGTATTTTACTGGATGTGGTGTGCCGGGGCGTGATCATGTTTCCTGCTAGTCGAACGGTCAGACTCGGCTGAAATGAGGCCCTGGTTATAACAACTCAGAACGCCGTTGTATTTTATGCGCTCAATGAATGCAAATCCTAAACTTTTTTTTCTGACCCCCCCCCTCCAACTCGCCCTAGAGTCACGCAGAGGTGTGCCCTGGTAGAGAGGGCAAAATGGCCAGCCGCGTAAATGTTTTTTTGTTCGTGGTACTTCCACATTCAAAGCAACGCAATGGCATACAGTTGCAGGTACCCTGGGTTGGAAATCTATTCGGTGACTCTGAAATGTTGATCCGGTTGTGCCACCGACGTCGCTTGTGGCGGCCGCGCTCTCTCTCGTCGTGGGCAATCACAAAATCGCTCCTGCGAGTGATACTGCAAGGGGAGGTACCGCACCGCCGATCGGCACGGTTGGCTACGTACGGTGCGAAATAAGTTGAACATACAGAACAATACAAAAATGCTCACGTAAAAAAAAACATACGTACATTTACTTGTATTTTTCCCCCACTCAGTGTTCACTGACAAGTCAGCCATCCTTTCTCCCGTCTCCCTCTCTCTGAAGAAGAGGCAGCATTTTCCAACACATTTGCTTATCACATATATCACTGTTTTACATACATACTTGTGCGTGTGTGCGGCGTGTGCGCGTGTGTGCGCGTGTGTGTGTGTGCGGCGTGTGTGTGTGGCGTGCAGCCAGGTGTGGCTCCTGGTTCTGGTTCTGGTCATCATGGGCATCTGCCTGGGGAGCACCCTGGTCCCGGCTTACTCCATCATCCTGGAATCGGCACAGTTAAGCGCTCCGCTCTCTCGCCTCCCAATCTTGCCACGTCCGCGCCACCCCCTTCCCCCCTCCACAGCGTCTCGGGCTGCGTGGCCTCCCCTGTACCCCCCATCCCACCCCCTACATTTGTGAGTGGCTCCCCCTCCGTGCCAAGCGAATGGTGCCGGCTGCATCACGCGGTGTCCGCCTCCGGTGTTCGTTGAACTTACAGTGGGTCACCGTGGCCCGATACGCGAAGCGACGAGCGACCTCAATGGAACGCGTCTCTCTGCTACGGAGACAGGGAGCCGTTGCCCAAATTGTTGCCTAATGAGGGCAGCAATATTGATGTGTGCGTCATGAGTTTTGTTGTTGTTTGTGTTTCTGCCAATGCCATATAATGAGAAGGCTCGATTAAAACGCAGCTTTCTGAAACAAATTCGCATTTAGACAGCACCTGTTTTCAATCAACTGCTGGATGAATGCCTCTCCTCATGCCGGTACATTGTTCTGTGAGAATTATTCGACCGTATTTCTCCATCCTGGTCAGTGCAGGCTTTTGATGGTGGCAGGTGGGGGGGTGGTGTGGTCAGCTGGTGGGGGGGGGGGGACATTGACATGGAAACGTTGAAGATCAGTACAACGCTAAGTTTATTGTTATACACTGCCGTCCGTGTGATTGCCCGAGCGTAGTCCCGCGGCCCCATCGCACCCGGCCTGTGCGATTTGGGCGCCCATCCAAGCACTGTGTAGGCTCAGCCCTGCTTAGCGTGTCCCACATCTGACGAGATCGGATGCACGCAGTGTGAAGAGCATTGTAGTACATAATAAGTAGTGCCTCTTGGCACTTCTTTCAAAACTCGAATCTCGGCGCATTGCCGATGCGACCTAAATATTGTATATCTGGATATAATCTAACGTATGCGGAAAATTCTTCCAAGTACATGCAGCGAACACAGCACGAGGCCAGCGCGCGTGGGACGTGCAGATATTCTTAACGATCTTCACGCCGCCTTGTCAGCACACATACGCTTAAAAAGTCAGAGTATGATTTAGTTAAATATATGTGTGGATATCCACAGTGTATCCTGCATAGAAACCTCACCCAACCATTTAATGGGAGTGTGCGCATTAGATACTGCACACCGTACAACACACAGACAAGTCACACCAGTGCGATTGTGGCCATGCAACCGGAACTATGGACCATATGGTACATCCATAGAGACATCGAGACTTGTAGAGATGCAAAGAGACCGATAGAGATACATAGAGACCCATAAACACTCTTAGGGATACATAGAAACCCAGAGATTTCCATAGAGACCTATAGAGACACACAGAGATACATGGAAACTCATAGATATACTGAAGAGACCCATAGACTTTACATGCACTCATAGAGACACATTAAAAAGAAGCCAGAGTGCAATTGTGGCTATGGAACCGAAACTATTGACCATTCATTGAACATAATTAAACAGCACCTGTGTAAATGTCAAGATGTGCAGACCGTCATCATGTCTTAAATGACGGCACATTTAAAATATACTCACGTGGCGCTGTGTCCTGGGTGGACACAGCGTATATCTACGAGATTAAAAATCAAGTTGAAACTACATTTATCAGTGCTGTAGTTCTGTGACTGCAGCGGTGTTAAACGGCACGGCGCCCGAAGAGCCATCGTGAGCCCACTTTGAAAAGGAAAATGCAGAGGTGGCTGGGGGATCTGAGACGCTGAGATCGTGGGTCTGCGTCTTTGTTTCGGCCACCTGTGATTAAACCGGGTTCTCAGGTCGCGTGAGTTGATGCTCACAGAACTGGCAGGACAATTCTGTTCATGAAATATTGGTGAGTGTGCGGGTGGCTACGCGGAGGGGAGATGCTCACAACAAACCCATCACGTTAAATTTGGTTCTGCCCCCTTAATTTGGCTTAATTCCAGCTCCTTGATTAGTACGCTTATTCGTTTGTCTGTCACGTGACGAACATGACTCCCCGCGGCACAGTGGGTGGATCAGAGGTCACTGGAATGCGTACTCGGAGGTAGCTCTGTGATATCCACTTTCCACGGGCCATTCTGTCGCGTGAAGGGTCCGCACGCCGGACGGCCTGAAACACGCGGCCTCGGCGCGAAATGACAGGACAAGGTCCCTTCCTTTGTTGGGTCGCCTTCTTCCCGTGAGCGGCTCGGAAGTTTCATGACGCGACTCGCGACGGTCTGCGCGTCTGATGCGAGTCCCCCCGTGGCGTTGTCTCTGCAGCCAGGTGGGGTTTGCTGACAATGCGGCGACGCTCGGGCTGGTGTCAGGACTCTTCACCTCCATGTGGTGTCTGGGGTAACGTCATGTCGCTCCTGCCTGCTGCTTGCCTCCCCGGCACCACCCCACCCCTCGCCCCCCGTCGTAAAGAACGGTCCTCGCACAATAACGGCGTCGTGCCGCGATTTACAGCTCAATATCGTTGCTCACGGTGCCTCCTAAAGGTCACGTAACGGCGCGTTTGGCGTCCGCGCTATTCCCACGTGGTGCCGTCGCTAATTTGGATTGGGGCGGTCGTTGGCACGTGGTGTCTGAGTGATAGTTGTCTCAAGATCGAATGTTTTTTTTCGGGAGAGGATGGAATTGCACCCCTGAATCGGCGGGAACTGTTTGCGGAACTTCTTTCGCACCGTACGTGGCCATCTGTTTCGGTCACACATTCTCGGCCAGTGTGCGTGTGGCTGAGCGGGAGCAAATGCTCTGAGCAGTCGCAGACGCGGTTCGGTGGTTGCTGAAGCTCGGCGAGTTGGTGCAGTGGAGGGGTGTAGGAAGTGAATCACCCTGCTCTGTTAATGGAAATATCTGGGTCTGTCACGTGATGTTGTGCCATCACGACTTCATATGGGTACGAGTGCACCTATTCTGGCACAAGTGCATTGACAATGGGATGACTGCTCTATGCGAATGGTGGTTGTTGATGTATGTGTGATTGTACATTTGTGGGAAGCCCAGGGACCCGGGGTTTGATTCCCGCTCACGTCCAACACCGGTGACGATTATCTAAATGGTACTGGGCCTCTCCTAGGTCTACTCCGTCTCAAATGAGTACCTGGTGCGATGTGTAAACGTTGCCACTGGGGAGACAAAGGCTGCCGGGCGTTGTTCTGGTCTTCGCAGGTGCTGCTCGCTAGCAGCACTTGCCCCACAGTCTTTGAAGGCTACACGGGGGATCTTTGTCTTTGTGCGCGCTGCAGGGAGTGCGTGGGGCCCGTGTTCGGAGGGCTCATCCTGCGGGTGCTGCCCTTTGCATGGGCCGCCTCGGTGCAGGGCGGCTTCCTCTTCGTCGTGGTGCGAACCTCCCCCCCACCCACCCAGAGGGGCCCCCCGCCCCCCCTCCCTACCCCGCTCACACCCCCTCAGTGGGCCCCCGCTCACACCCTCCCACCCCACTCGCACCCTCCTCCCTTCTCAAGGGCCCCACCCACTCAGAATTCCCCGGTGAGCCCCCCACTCACACCCCCCTCCGAGGGGGGCCCCCGCTCACATCCCACCCCCTTGGGGGAAGAGGGGGGGGGGCCGTGTTGCCCCCCGGACTGAAGCTCGTCACGGCGCAGGGTAGTGAAGAGAATCGTCGCAGGAACGATTTGGCTCCCGCTCACGATTATACCAGACAGGTGGCACTTTGTATTGACACAATTCTATAATGATTGTCACAACAATACGATGCTCATAATAATAATACCTAGAGTCGAAATGCGGCTGCATCTAAAGATGCTGTACAGAAATGCAGGACGTCCGCTGTGGGGAAGAAGCCATGAAATCGGCCCGCATGCAGTTGGACGGTGAACTGAATTGCCACGGAGGCTCTAATGACCAATATTATCCATGAAGGATCGCGTAAATATCAATGTGTCGTTAAACCCGCGACCACCTAACTCAGCCACTTAGTAAGGTTTGTCACGTAAACAAAACATGCCAATTAGTTACTACTTCAGCACACCGGTGTGTTGGAAAGTAAATCCACAACATTTACAATTCGAGTACGACGTTTTGCCGGTAATTACAACCAGCTTCATCAGGGGATGGCCATAGTGTATCCTGCTGGGCGGACAGAAAGTTTTTGTTTGCGTAACGAATTCAATTGCCGCACCAGGAGATCAAATCAGCGCAACCTCTGTATTGCATGGGCAGGCTGGTTTAGCGACACGTTTATATTTCTGCGATCCTAACCCCCCAAAAACCACGATTATTATTTAATGCCATACCGTGAGAGATGATAACGACTTGAGGTGGAGGGGGGCCAGGGGGGGGGCAGGCTTAATTCAGCAGTGGAGAGATTCACGGTTGCTGCTGCTGATGATTTTGTCGTGGGTATCATTTGAACGCATGTGGTGTGTGGTGTGAAACTCTTTTCTTTTGCAGGCTGTGGTTATGCTTATTTTCAGCCTGAGAAGCTACTGCTCCACAGATGAAAGGTATTCATGCGCCGAACCAATTTGCTAAGTTTATTAACTGGCCTGCTTCTGAAGTGGCATCTGAATATGGCCAACATATTAAACTTCATCGTATATATATATTTTTTCTACAATAACATTTTCGCTCAAAGGAAATTTAATTTGAAATATCCTCCTTCAAAATAGAGCCCATGCAACGATTTCAGCCCTGAAGCTAATTCCAAAATATTCCAACCGTCGGTGTCTTGTTATAAACGCAGCTGTGTCTGCTTGAGATGAGTCAGGCCCTTTGAGGTTCATCAACGTAATCCTCCATCACTTTCACCCACACTCCTGGAGGCCGGTGTGTGCGTGTGTGTGTGTTTAATAACCTTTTCGATGTAACACACACAACAGCATTTCCCACAAATGCAGCCCTGACATATAGCGAAGGGGATACCTGTACAATGTTCCCACATCTGTGCACCCTGCCTTCACTGACACGCGCTGACTAGCTCTGTGAAGTATGCACGTAAGTTGAACTTCTTTTGCACCGTATGTAAAAGAAGTTCAGCATACATACATCGCCTCGCTGATCAGTGCGGGTCGGTGAAGGCAGGGTGCATAGTTGTGGGAACATAGTTTAGGAATTCCCACCCCCCCCCCCTCGCTATGTCAGGGGTGAGTGGGTAAAATTAGCAGAGGATGACGTTGATGAACCTCCACGACGACCTCCACGGAGTGGGAAGGCCCCCAACTGGCAGTGGACCGACGAAAGGGCTGTCGGCGTACAACGGTGGTGGTGATGATGATGACGATGATCATTCTTTCTATGGCTGATAATGGTGTGGATCAACAGCTGTACAGGGATACCTCGCTTAGCGCTCAAGCTGCGTTCCTGGTGATATGAAGGGGGTCATTATATAACTATATATATGGGGATGCGTATATGAGGGCTTCATTGGCGTATCGGTAATACCACTAATAATATTAAGATAATTTAACAAGTAAAAACATATATAATATCAATAAGTATTATGTACTGTACTCACAAGTGCAATCTACTTTACTCCTACAATGTAAGACGAGGTTAGGGACGAGGTTGCGTGAGCTGTTGTGCTCCCAATCCGGCTCTTAGTGATGCCCTCAGTCGACATTTCTGTGGTGAGGTTTCTTTTAAGTGGAGCCAGAGTGAGACTCTATCCTGGTCTAGCGATTTCTTACCTGGCTAAACAAACGCATTGTAATAATATTGGGGAAAAAAACTTAAAATGTGGATTTAAAAAAATGTAATCGCTACCATGAATCGTGATAACCCAAATAGGGGGGATGGGGTTTGGTTGGCTCACAGCTTACATTACTCGTTGGCTGAGTGAATGATGGGTCCAGGTTTCCTCAGCCAGCACTGCTGTATGTTCTCACTTAAAAGCACTTTGGCTACGTACGGTGCGATAGAAGTTCAACAAACATTTTAGATAATTTGATTTCATGTTTTTCTTCTCCGGGACAAAGAGCGCCATCACAAATTAGAGTTCTACGGGATATGCGCTAAGCGAGGTCTGCCTGTAAATTTGCATTCAGGTGGTTGAGCCAGACGACTGCGTCGTCAAGAGTCGTGGAGTGGTGTGATCCACGCCTCCTCCTTCGTAATTGTGAATCGGGCGTTGACTTGTTAGACGTTCAACGGTTCTGTTCTGGGTGGTGACCACAATCGCCGCACACTGCCGGATAATTTTTTTATTTTCCATAATTAATATCAATATTACGATGATGATAACAACGATTATGATTGTTAACCACTAAGTTGTACGTATGTATGTTGAACTTCTTTCGAATTGTACGGAGACAACCGTGCTAAACACAAAAAGCAGTTCTAAAGAGATGAGTTTTCAACCTAAATGAAAAGTACATAGCTCCGGTGGCTTTCTAATATCGGGAGGAAGAGCGTTCCAGACGGCCGCAGAAGGGCATCTGAAAGCGCGCGATGCGAACTTGCTCGCGTTGTCATCCACAGGGAGCGGCAGGAAGTCTCCGAGCCGGAGGAGTGCACGATCATATCTCCGGACACCATTTGCTATGGGTCGACGAGACACCTCGTGGTCCCTGCCATCAACGACGCCAAGCTTCACGTCGATTTCTCCTCGGGCCTCAGCCCACTCGCCGCATCGTTGGCCGAGAGTGTTGCACGGACGCCCGCGTAAACACGGACACCCACGCTGCGTTGATGGAACAATGAGAATAAATGAGTAGCTGATTTTTATTGGTGTCACCAGTTGATTTGCATACACACATACATGTATGTTGAACTTCTTTCGCACTGTACGTAGCCAACTGTGCTAATCGGAGGTGTGACAGATCAGTATGCATCACGATCTGTCATTATTTCACCATTATCGATAAATACAGAGGAGGCTAACCTTCAAGGAATCTCGGATAATGAATTGTTAATGAGTCATGGATGGTCGTCCACCACTGCATATCTAACAGTAGTCATGAATAATAAGTTATACTGTGTGTACATAAAAAACATTGCTCTGTAACTTTTGTTGCCTTGCGTTGTGGCATGCAAATGTAATGCTAAGGGATGACAAGTAAAACTCTCTGGAACATTTCAATTTGTCTGGCAATTGTAATGCACATCAAACCACGATGGCTCGTATTTGTCTCCAGACATAGCCGTGGCTGGACGCTGGCCGCGGCCTGCACCACCCATCGCCCTGATCATCACCACCCGGTGGGGTTGGGGTGGGGAAAAAATGGGAGTCGCTGAACTTTAACCTCCCCTGGACGCAGAGGCCACCTTGCACCATGCTAACCTGTGCTGCAGACATCAGAGTCCAGCTGCATTGTAAACATCTCCTTGACACTGAGATAGGAAGAAAAAGTTTCACCCATGCTGGCTCAAGCAACCGATCACAGTTGTTGGCGTACGTCCCTGTCAAAGCATCTGACCAACGTTTCTTATAAACGGTCATAAAATTTCGCCCATGACCAACATAGCTCATAATGCACTGATCTGATCAATGTTGTGTGCCATGCCCTTCCAAAGGTTCACAACGTGGCCCGTGGTCTGGTCCACATCGCTAAGGTCACGTGCCGCCGAGTCTCCGCTTGGATCGTTGGTGACAGAATCCACCACGGATGCTGCGGGTCATTCGTATCGGGGTGCGCCCTTGTTTTTGACATTGGTCTTATCCAACGGGGGTGGGGTCCACGGTCGGATCGGTGATGACATTTAATGGAGACGTGGCTGTTTATGCCAAAGTTGTCGCTGTTGTTCTTTTGGCGTCAAAACTCTGAACGTTCGGGCCCTTTCGCCATATTCCAGAAGGGGTGGCCTCAATGTTTTGGTGATAATCAATTCGCCATTGCGCTCCAGTGAGTGTCGATGATGCGTTCTGTCATAGCCGGGATACCGTAGAGCAGGCCTCTGCGGTGGATTTCGAGCCGCTGAATTTGCAATGAACTGCCGACTCCTACGCGTGAAGACCAGGCACCGTTACGCCGACGCAACCTCTGGCCTGACAGCGATACACAATGCAAACATCTGAGCGCAGCAGTGTTCCACATTGCTCATCAAGTCACCTGGGGTCGAATGAGCGATGGACAGCGCACGACACTGTTGCCTGCACCGATCCAGTCGTGGAAGTTCCTCATTACTCTGGCAGGAATGGGCTCGTCTCTACCGGACAACTATCGTTTGACGTTCCACTAAGTGGTTCTCACCGGGTGATTGGTTTTGTTTACAGTTTGAAAGCCACGATTAATGAATTGACCTCCTGTGGTTTTTGTTTTGAATGCGGTGACTCCTCCACCGGCCTCACAGTGTTTAGTCTTCATGTCCAGGGAGGCATTTGCCGCGTGACGAACGCTCTGTAGCTCTTTGCACGTGTGTCTTTCACAGCATCCTAGCTTATTTTTTTGCCACGAATCCCCTGTAGCTTGCAGCCGAAATAAGCACAACCAATTTAATGGTAACTTCACAATTTATTCACGGGCAATTTTCATATTTTGCCATTTCGGCTGACATCAGCGCTGCGTAATTATTTGGCCGCTGTAGCGGGAATAAATCGAATTGTCAATGGAATGCCGACCGGCTTGCTAAGGGAGCAGCACCCTGACCACAGAGCCACGCTGCCACCCACATTCATTTGGGATTGCGCATCGAGACAACTGGGCAGGGCCCTCCGGGGAGGCTATCATTGGTAAACCAGCGTCATCATAATAATAATGATTCACAGTATGTCCTCAAAGTAGCGTAAATGGATTACTGTGCCTTGTTTAAAATGAGATTTTTTCTGGGGACCCCGGGAAAGTAAGGTAATAACTCTACTCATTTGAAATGGTTATTGTGATACTCAACTCCATTGGCCCTCTGTTTAACACGTAGGCTTTCGCGACCAATATTATTCATAATAACACATTTATAAATAATGCAATCCATTGGCCCTGTAAATATCTTGAACAAAACTGAATATAAGTGATGGTGAAAGGGAACGGAGCGGTGTGTGCACGTTAACCAACAGCATGGATCACACACACGGATACTGGCACAGAGTACGGAACCAAATCTGAAAAGGGCACGGGACACATCACTGGACGGGATGGTGCCCAACGGATGGGATCTAGGGCGTAATGGGAAGGCGTCGGAGGAGAGAACGCGCCCGTGAGGGTGACCAGCGCAGAGGTGGATCATCATCAGCTCGAGGGACGAGTGAGACGGATAATGGCATCGGCGCAAGACCGTGGGAGATGGCGGCAGTGTGGGGGAGGCCTCCGTCCAGTAGCGGATAGTCAATACCTGGTAACGATAAAGATGTTGGTACAGTGCCGTCAAAGTTTTAAGTGACACCTGCAAGTGAAGTATTTAGTCTGGGACCATGGACGAAAAATATTACATTAGCCGCGACTGCCAAGTCGGCAGCAGCCACACATCGTTGCAGTTTGCTGCAACTGCTTTCTTGATGCACAGCATCGAAAACGCACCGCTGGCCTTAAATGCAAGACCCTGCATGTGCTTGAGTTCCATGGCAGTGAGCTGACGATAGATCAGCAGTTCACATGCCCCCCGTTTTTTTTATTCTTTCGCCGAGTTACGACGAGATGGGGCGAACACAATCTTTTCCAACTCGCAGGGATTTCCAGGAATTAACGGAACATTCTTCCGAGACCTCGCGAAGTGGAATGGTATTGATGGTGGCGCGCGGCGTAAACACCTGGAGAGGTCTCGCCGCCAGCATTCATTGACCATCATCTGCCGACTGCCGATAAAGCGAACACGGATTCAACGCTTCACGTGCCACCTTTGGTTAATGGAGTCCCTTGAGGGCGATCACGTGGTTAACAAAAGCGATGCTGATTTACTCTGTCTCCCCATTGATGCTGCCGTGCCGCGTTGATGTGTACGGTTTTTTTTTGGACCGAGCCGATGCTTGAGGATAGCGTTGCGCGGGCGCGGGGGCTTTGGAATGGTGATGCATAGTTGCGGCACACCGCGCCAGGGTCACAATGCAAGCTATTAGCGAGCGCCGACGGCCACATCCGTCACCGCGGGGTTGTTTCCGTAACAGGGCGAGTTTATTATGGCCATTTACAAGGAGACAATGCTTCCAGTGGCCGTCACTGGCAGTATTTCATTAAGGGACCGTATTGTGATGAGAGCATTAACTCACTCGCGCCTCCCCCCGCCCCCCACCCCATGCTCCCCACCGAGGAAAGCAACTATGGAAGTTGGGGTATCTGGCAGCGTGATGTGACGCATCAGGGTCCAGTCGACCAACATGGAGTGGGGGGGGGGCATAAATGTTAGAATAAAAAAATTAGAACAATCATTATAGAGTTATAGCCTACACATGATTGTATACGGGTAAAACAAAAACATCTGTAGCTATTTCAGTAAACGTGAGTCGGGAGAAAGGAGGCAGTGGGGGGAGGGGGCTACAGTCGTAACCTGCATTGCCACCGCCACCCTCCCAGGTCATGAATCTGCGGGCAGAGCGGCATCCCCTTGGCGGCGTGGGGCTGTTTCTTGTTGTTGTTGGGGGTGGTGGTTGCACGCTTATCCAAATGATCGTTTGTGCCACCGCGAGGAATCTCCGGCGAGGCAGAATTGAATGCCCTTCTTACGATATACGGGGCGGGCGCGGGGGGTCATTGAACTGAACCTTATGGTGGGACCCCGGGCTCTAAATCGTAATTAATTTATTTATTTTTGGCGACTCCGTCCCACCGCGCACATAAACGCAGTGACCCACCATAAATTAATCCTCTTGTTCTTCACCAAGCACCCGTCGTTGCCAAAATTGCCATAGTCATGAACAAAACTTTTAAATTTTAATTAGCGCATCGTGTAGAGTTCGTCGAGAGGAATAGATTGCCGTATCATTCGTCTTTAACAGACATAAAATGACGTCGCAACGCAGTTTATGCGAGAGTCGGGGGCTTATGGGACCCCGGGGTCCCTCCACAAAGTTCAATTATTGCGGGGTGCAACCTGTGTCGAATTGCAAGAGGTGGCGGCAGATCGGGGAGGAGATATTCAGCCGGCAGCGAACTCACCGTGGCTGACGATGATGGTGACGGTGACGAGTGACGATGGCACCTGCATTGCAGCTGAAGAGGAAGTAGAGAAAGTCGAGTTCTATATATGCGCTGATGTTTAATGCTCATACCCTCGTATGCGTGATTGTTCTCAATCGATCTCCTAGTAATTCTGACCGTTTACCCTGGTTCTCTATATATGGCGCGTTGTGATCTATGGATGAAATGCGCCTTAGAAATGTAAATGAAGATAATGATGATAATAAGAACATTCAGTATTGATTTGTAAGTATGTTTATCTTCTTTTGAACCCTACGCAGCGACCCGTGCCAATCTGAGGTGCGGGAAGGTCTCGGGACTGATTACATCTTACGTGGGTACAGCCTGCATGTCGCAGTCATAGAATCACGCATCAGGATGAAACGTCATTACTTTCTTTATTGGACATGTTTTAAAGCAAAACAATAAACCCTTATGCAATGCATGTATTTGAACATCTTTCGCACTAATCTTGATCTGAAGCTTTCGTGACTGCAGGAATCCATACTATTTGGTTCTTTCGGTAAAGTCACGTAGGTAGAAAAAATATATATCACGACGTTTCGATCGCAACACAAGCGGTCGTCCTCAGGCAGAAAAAATAATCCAGCAGTGGAACTGCTGAACCAGCGAGAGAGCTGTTACAACAAGGTTATATATGTGGCGATGAGCAAGCAAGCGGGGTCTGAGCTGGAAAGGAATTCCATCCACGGACGCAAGCACGTCAGTTGTGTTAATGGGGGAGATTAGGGAGAGAGAGATTAGGGAGGGAGATTGGCATGGATTAGCTTCCGTCGCCGCATAAGAGTATCATCCCCGCACAACAGCGGTGTTAATTAAATATTAGCACCATGAGAGTGCAATCCAAAGGAAATGTGAGCATGAGAGTGCAATCCAAAGGACATGTGAGAGATCTAAGAGAGAGGCACAGAGAGAGAGACAGACAGAGTCGTAAATAACAGCTGACATAGGCAGGTAGGATGGAAACATCACAGTCAGTTAAGACTTTACCTGGTTAATAACGTCCTTCCAATGA